TTTACTGCCCTGTCAATCATATCCTAAGCATGTTCTATTACATTTAGAATTGGTAAATATGCAGGCCAATCCAAATGTGGGATACCGCGCTGTTGCAGCGCGTCTTGCACGGACCATGCTTTCTGGATGGGCGCATTGTCCTGCACCAAAATGATTTTTCTTTCTGGATTTGCTTGAGTGTGTGATTGTATGCACCCCAATGGTCTTTGGTCTCTGTATTGTTGACCAGGGCACCTCCCTTGAATGACGTACGATGGCAATTTTTCATTGTTTGGTTGATATGAACTGGCCCTGGTGGCATAATCGAACCAGATATCTTCATCTCTTGCGTCGGTTAATATTATTCTACCAGAAAGAGGCTTGTCCAATACATGATGAGTTGGGCGCCATTTTGCTACCAGCTTGGACACTTGACTTGGTGCTACTTTTTTGTTGCCTTGCAATCTGTCTCTTTGGCACCGCAGCACGATGGCTTCCCATTATTTGCCATCTGATTACCTCGTTGAGTCCTCTTCTAACCATTGCTTGGTCCAAAATGACAAATTGTGCCCATGAAATAAGTCAAACTGGAAGCTCCTCATGGCATGACCAAACTGTGTTTTTCGCAAGTGGGACCCCCATTGCATATTCTATCGTGTCCAACAGTAAATAGTACTCTAATGTCACGGTCCAGTAAGTCAAAGTAAAAACAAGAGAAATATCTAGCTATTGTACAAATTTTGCCTCAATAAAATTTTTGGTTGCTGAGAAATTCGAGAAATAAGAAAGTGTTGCTTAACTTATGAGCATCAGTGTAAAAGGGATGCCGGTAATTACTGGTTCAAGCGATTTCAAATTTGAAATAAAGCATAGCCAATATGCAGTTTGAGTTTTAGAGCGCATGGTATTTCCTTTGATACCATTAACGGTGACAGCGATTAAAAAAGCCTCATGGAAGCGATATTTGGTCTACATAACTTGAGGACTGGCTGTAATCTGCCGTCACGAAAGGCCATGACATTCAAATGAACAATCCTTTCCTTTGCAATAGCCGTATTGCAGAAACATTATTCATTTCGTGCTGTGAAATTGTTGGCTTGGCAACGATGACTAAATAACAGTAGCCTTTGCATGTGTTAACAAAGTATTTAATCAGGATGGATTAATTTGCAGTCTTAAAATTAAAAGAAAACTTAATTGTGAAAGATAGAAACCAAGTTTAAAATGAGCAAGGCGATTTCTCACTGCGAGAGATTAAAAAACGTTCTTCCCAAAACATATAATGTTTCGTCTTATTATCGATTAAACGTGGGCATTGGTGCAAGGGAAAAGTTCCAAAATATCATAAAATTTATCTTAAATTAGCTTTTTATTTTGTTCTGCGTCTTCCTTTTTCACCCCACGCCATACATATGACAGATAAGAGCCTATACCGTCAGCTGGAAAATATTCCACTAAATACGCAGCTTGAAATATATAGTAGGTTGTTTGCGTTAGATTTATGGTTAACATGTATCTTTTAGGGGTTCTATAATATGGCGCTTATTTTTCGCAGGTATTCATTTCAGGTGCTGTTTTGCTTGAAGCATTTTGTTCGAGAAAAAGGTTATCTGCAGGCGAAAAAAATTTCGAGGCATTTAGTAAAATGTCTAAAAATTATGCTTCTTTTTCGTCCACCCTATTTTGGATTTAACACATCCTCATCAAATATGGTTTTCCTCACCTTGGCCTTTAACCAGCTGGGCACATATCAGCAAGGCTATCGTGAGCAATTGTTTCATTATTCTACCTCTCTTGTCCTTTGGCAACCTACAATAAACAAGTATTTACTTTGATTTTAGATTTGATTGAATAGACATGTACATTTAGAATTGCATTTTAGGTCTTTCTGGTAAATCGTTATCTTTTTCACATCCTAAATGCAACTGGTGAGAAGAAAAACTCAGACGATGTTTGAATTGAATAAGTTTATGAACTATTTTTCCGGTTGTAACTCACTGGGTTTTTTACACATTAAAAGACAGCAAATCATACGTTTTGGTTCACTCAGCACAATAAAAACAAGTCGCTAATAATCTGCGTGGTCACGACAGTAAAGACTTAATTGTCTAGATGAAACACCAAGTACACTTTCCAGAATTCTCTGCCTAATTATTAAACATAATTTTTTTCAAAAGAAACGCTTAGACTGTCCATGCCTCACTGGCAAAACTGTTTATTCTTTGTTATCCCAGTAAAGATTTTACATAGAACCGTAAAGTATTCAGATCACTTTTCCCATGAGTATACCATTTTAGTACTTACCTTAAGTATCGTCCACCTCTATCAACAGTAACCCGGTGTCAAGGAGCAAACTACTTATGGGCTCCCATCATCACGTTAATCCAGTCCCACCTGGGTTATCGTGGTTTTCGTGGGATTATGTCACTTCGTGTTGGGTAACACCTCACCTCGTGTCAAATGTTGCGTTCACATACATCGAGAGCGAGTTCTGTCTACATGAACCAACCTCGCGTGGTGGGTGGGGAGTGTCACGAACAGGTTTACAAATAGAAATTTCAGATTGAAACTAGATCAATCTATTAAAAAAAAACGTCACACATAAATACGATGTGTGTGTTCGATTAGCTGAATAGTTATTTCTTTTAGTTAGTCATTTCTTGACAATATATGTTGTCCCCTGGACATTAATAAAGTAGTTCTTTGCTTAATTTGGTACTCGTTTATTATGATTCTGCGTCATAGGCGTTTTTCCTAATTTTCACAAGTACCTTAAACTCAAACAGCTTCCAGTACGTATCTGTTCATATGCATGTTTTTGTTTGCTTGTGAAAATCTGTAAAATATGAGAGATTTTCTTCATCACTTCGCACAGCAAGTGAACAAATGACTTTTTAGTCATTATATAAAATATAATATATTCCTGCCCAAATACTTAGTGAGCATCATACATAAAAATTGTATATATTTTACTTACTTTTGTTATTGACATCTACAAAATTGACTTCATCGGCTTGTCCGAGTTACATTTTTATACATGTGATTAAGCAAATTCCGAAAGTAATTTAATTCAAAGGATATTCAAAGCTTATCCAGAACCTTATCCAAATTATATAATACAATAAATGAACCAGAAGAATACATGTCAATTATACAAAACATAACTAAATGTGAGATAAAGAACTTGGCTAGATTCGGAATTGGAGCAGATGACCTTCCAATGCTGAAGGAAAGAGGCTAACAGCAATCTCTGAATAGAAAAGAACAGGTAAACTTTTTAAATTGACAATAGAAGAAGAGCCTCATTTCCTGAATATAAAACGGAAATGCTCCTCTTACACCAAACATAGCAAAAAGCTCAAAGTAAAAAAAAAAAAGAGAGCAAACCCAAGTTCTTATTGCAGACAAAATAAAAAACATGACACAGTGTTCAGATTACTTGGCGAACTTCATAACAAAGTGCAGTAAAATGAGATTTGATATACCGAACCATCTACACAGGCGACAAGCAAGAGACGGGCGAATATGATTATATCAATATTGACTGTGTATGTTTGTTTGTGTATTTATCTCTGTGTGTATTTTATATATTTAACATGGTTTGTTTAATATACCTCTCACTGTACAACTATAACATACATGTACTGTAACTGTTACACAAGCCTTTGCAACAATCATGCTTGATTTAGGCCTATAGTTATATGAATGATCATGATAATTATATGAATTTCATAATCATTTTGTGTGTGTGTGTGTGTGTGTGTGTGTGTGTGTGTGTGTATGCATGTGTTCGCTGGATTCTGCAGAAACAAATAGCCTTTGCAACACGATGGAAATCACGTAGCACGATTGCACATTTACAAATATCCTGCTCTACAAACTAATAAAACCTGACAAGGACAGATAACTGCTTCATTTAGATCATAATAATGAGAGTTCCTTTCTAAAAATAATGGTTTTGAAAAGATAAATCATCACAGAGACAATATCCTATGTATTTCCTGGGTGTGTTAATTCACTCAGACAACGCACTGCCGCTGATCTAACCCAATTTATTGATCAGCAAAACTAAATATGCAGTCAATGCTTCACGCCTATGCACGCATTAATAGCAATGTTACCTAATTAACGGGGGATTTCTTATCCAAATCTACGGAGAAAATTAAAATCTGTAAACCAATTTTCAGCTCCTAATTTGTTATTATTTTTACCAAGTTCCTATTGAAATCCACTATAGTGCCCATGTTGAATACCATGGTGACATAAAAATTGAACTTTAAGTTAAAAAAAGGAATCTAAAATGCCTCCATAAAGAGTGTTCTGAATAAGCGAAATGAGAGGTGAACATGTAACGTAAAGTACCAACTGCACTACAGAAATCCCAGTTCGTGCATCAATACTTCGCACCCTAAGATTATATCAGATAGAGTTCTTAAATCTTCGAAACAAAATTCAGCTGCAAAAACAGTAAAAATGAGAATTCTAGTTTGAGATCTTTTAAAACAACGTGTCCTTTGCAATATACCGTCCATGATTTCCCCCGCCGAATTTTCCTTTAAAAGAGTCCAATTATTACTTGCCCGTTGCTCGGTCCGTTTCTGGGCTTGGATTTGATATTTCAAATCATTTTAAAAGTAGTTTACTTCTAAATGTGACCCAAAACATTTAGACCACCACGTTTTCCTGTACATTGCAGATTGAAATATCGACATCAGGTAGCCCTATTTTTATTTGAAGGGTTTCATCATTTTAAGATCTGTACTGGAAAAGCTTGGAGCAATAATGATTTTCAAAAGGTCATTATGGAACAAGACAACACTTAAGGTGCTTTCCCAGAGATTTAGATCGATCTAAAGATTAAGATTTAGATCGACCTAACTCCCTGGGGGTTCACGCTAAATTGCAGTCAGCCGAGCGGGCACCATAGTTAATTACCCCCTTATAGCTATTAGTAGGCGGGACAGACGCTTAAGCCGGCCAAGCTGACAGTAATCTAGTGAGACTCCCCACAGGGATAGATCGAACTAAAAATCTATGGAAATGGGGTGTTAGTCTGAACATTTATAAACTGAATTGGAGTACATGTTACAGTTGAAAAAAATAACTGGGTCAGTAGAGGCGGAATGAGCAAGAATGCCATCGGAAAGACAATTCTTTGTGCGTTACTGGATATTCGAAGAACATTCTAAACATTCCGAGTGCATTCCGAATATTTTTACCTATTCTTGTGGCTGGCCCGAATGTTTTGCACATGTTAAAAACTTTCGAAGTACATTTCAAGTGGAAAATCATCGAATGGCATTTGAATAGTATTATAACTGCACTATGACAGCATTCTAGATATTCTCACGGCATTCCGACAGAATTCGAAACATTCTGATCACATTCGAGGGAGAACCGAAATGGCAAGACACTTCAAATCCTGCTAGAATGAGCCAGAATGCAACTCGAATGCATCTCGATCCTATTTCAGCCAGCAATCGAACTACACTCGTACGGCATTCTAAGTTTATTCTAAATACTCTGAGTGCATTCTGACAGTATTATTGATATTCTTAATTTTCCAACTACATTCGAGCTGCATTTGAGAGCTAATACAGCCGAAATGTGCACGAATCATTCCAGACGGATTCAAGCGCATCCTGAGTATTCCAACGGCATTCTTACAAGAATTTAGGTCAATTTGAAATTTCTTCTCGAATGTAGTACGAATTTTTAAATTTAGTCATTCCGGCTGCTTCTGTTTGATTCCTGCTGATTCCGAATAAGTGTGACGGGGGCTTAAGAAATTTCACTGGATCAGTCCGAATTTTACTGGCAATCAGGTAGACATAGATTTTGGATTTTTTTCCACATGACAGTAACATAAAATGTTTGTCCACTTTTGAAATGTATATAGTCTGTGAGGTGACTGAGAATCATTTAAAATGTCATGAAAGGAGCACTATAAATTTGATAGCATTATAAATATTTCAAGCAGTCTCTGTTGGCAAGGCCAGTATCCAGAATTTCTTTTCCAAAAAGGACAACTATAATGAGATTTTTTTCATGGCCTTGTCTTCTGCCTTGCTTATGCCATGCCACTCAGAAAAAAAGAAAACCTGTATGTTAAAAAAAAACATAATAATAGCATTATGAACTAGTAATATCCACGTAGACACTATGGAATTATGCAATTAAGTTTAATGTGTCATTGTTGTTATGACTTGACTGAAATAATGTTAACCTCATAAATGTACAATTTACAACTAAATTTGAAAGAAAATCAAGATTCATTATCACAGACTCATAATCCCACGAAATTGAAAGAAATTGTACTTATTACAAGAAATTAGATATCAAAATTATTTAAATCTGCCCTGGTTCCCACTCTTCTGACAGGACACAAGGGCATTTCAGAGAGGCCTGTCGCTAAAAAGGAAAATGCCCAAGGTTGTTGTAGTTTGAAATTGGTGAAAAAAATGTTAAAAAGCGTACTGTTGTTAGTGAATGTTTCATGCATTGTAGGCATTACGGCAAAAGTAACTTACCTCAGACACACTGACCTTTTTTCATTGATATTTTTGAATTCTTCCCAGCCTGATCATAATTCATATATTCAATGCAGCCTTCACCCATATCTTTAATAGAAAAAAAAACTTGAGTTAAGTGCTTAGATATGCATGTCAGAATCATTATCAATTTTGAGAGAATTTCTCTTTCGCCATTGCAAGATGAAATATTTACTTTAAAGTAATGAATAAACCTTAACAGAGTTCTATTCTTTTGTAACCACCAAGGCAAAGCTTCTTTTATAAAATGAACTGAAACATACAAGCTTGCCACCTAATATACCAAAGTAAAAAAATATAATTACAGTAGGGAAGCAAGTACCCCTTAATTATAGAAGTCTCTTACACACCTTGACTCAAAGGGAGATGTGTAGTGAGATAACAGGAAAATTGGTGGAGCCTAGGTGAACTAAAAACCTTGTGACTTTAAATTAAGAAGCACTGGGATTCATATGTGTTTTTTCAAAGATTTAACATTATTTGAAACATATATTTATATGTAAAAAGAGAAGTTAATAACCAATCCAAAGACATAAATCCAAGCTTCCTGTTTAACCGCCATGATGGAAATGCTAGGTGGGGGCAAAACTTTTCCAGTCAAAACAAAATAACTGAGCATCTCACTTCTGTTGAAACTCCTTTACCTCATAGAGATATGGGATAGCATCTCTCTCTCTCTCTCTCTCTCTCTCGGGGAGGGTGGGCTACTTTTTCGGGAATTTAAACCAAAAGAACATGAGTTATTCAAACTTATAATTAAATGTTTTTCTATTCCATATACAGGTAATAAACCGGCAAAACATTCAACAAATAATTTAGTTTTGTGACACTTGAATAAGAAGTACTTATGTACTGTA